AGGTTGGCTATCACATCCAGGGGCAGCACTGCTGTAGACAAGTGAATTTCTCACCCACTTCTCTCTAGCATGGCAAAGAGGAAGACAGGAGGCTTAAATGCTAAATTAAACAGCTTTAAAAGTGATTTAACATATGCCTACTACTACTTTCAAAGGAAATAAACATTAAATAGATTTAGCTTAAATGTTAATTTAAAATAAAAAATTTAGCTAAATTTCCTTAAGAAGTAAAGTCTCTAGGTCTATCACTTTCAAATTAGTAGAGTGAGTCTGATACTATTACAAACCGAGATGAAGTAACCACAGCAACCTTTATAACCACAGAAAGAAAACAGCCTGTCCACAAGGACATGCATGAAACAACATATTATTTAATCATTGTACCAACACATTTACTCTGAGAATATATCATGATACCTGGAAAATGCACTGTATTTAAGGAATATAATCTCCTTAGGAAATGCTTTATGATAATTAGATATTTTTCCATAAAACTATCTGAAAAAACTAACACTATAAGAAACTTCTTAAAAGCATTTAAAGGAAAGTTATTACGTTGGTTACCCGTATTCTTTTAAATACACAATTAGTTTCCACTCATAAATAAAAGCATAAATACTTTCTTCTAATTTCAATACTTAAAATATTATTTGCATTAAAAGAGATGATGTATTACAGTGTATGTCCCAAAGTTCTATTAAGCAAAGGGTGTTGGACCACTAGGAAGACAAAACACATTTGTTCAATGCTTACTAATTCACTTAACATCGTCTTTCCTTGTCTGGGGAGCCCCAGAAATGGACAATATCACAGTTATTTTACAAACAGTATTAGTAAATCAGGGCCTAGAGATGGTAAATAATCTGTACAAGTTAGGAAGGTAGTAAATGGCAGAGCTGCGATTTAAGCCTAAATGTGAATCCAAAATCAGAATCCGTGCTCTATTACACTATACTGCCCCAAAACTTATTTGAACATGTACTTTAGACTAGTATAAGGGGATGGACCACCAAAAAATATAAAAGGGAAGTGGGAAAGCCAGACTACATACAGTTTCTGACCAGTGAAGGTTGATAGGAACATTATTCTAGAAGAGGAATGATGGGAAAGTTAGTAAACTAAATAATTCATGAGATCAACTCTTTCATCTATAGAAAACCAACACTCAGTTATCTCTTCTTTTTAAATAGCTCTTAATATTACTCTTCTGAAGGAAGCTTCAGTGTTCTTCTGATTTTAACATTCTATTTTACCCTCCCTCCCACTAATATTCATGTCTCTGAGATTAAGAAAATCAAGTAAATTCTTATAGCATTCCCACAAATTCTTAGTCTCAGAACAAAATAGAGAAGAAAATATATTAAAATGTTGTACTGGTCTGTAACCTCATTTTTTTAGACCTGCCAAATGAGCTAGTTTCAAGCTGCCAGGCAAGGACAAATAGGGATGGCCACACAGTGGCATGGCGGGCATTTAACGCCGTGTAAGTGTAGGAGTACTTTTCTAGTTTAATGTTTCAGTGTGGTCACTGAAGTAAATTCATCCAGTAATCTTGAAATTAAATTCTACCTCCCACTACTGACTCCATACTAGTATAAAAGTTCTTAATCTTGTTAGTAGAAATTCAACTAAAAAAAAAACAACCTTTCTGTTTTAGAATATTTCATGAGAATATTAAATTTATCCACTATTTTCAGAGTGTACGCACTGTGAATAGAGCAGAATCTTCTCTCAACAGTTACATCGGTTCCAATCATTCTTAGAACATCAGTTATTTCAGTGGCTCAAAAAGATCCAAATGTCAGGTTGCATTGGGACTACTTTTTGTGGTGGGTCAAATTACCCAAGGGGAAAGAGAAGAACACAATTCCTGTGCCTTCAGTATCCGGAGCCAAGAAGCTACTCGTGGGGGATAAGGACAGGTCACTACCTTAACACTGAAATCCCAACTGACATGATCACCAAATCAACAAAGGAAAAAGCATTAGTCATAAACATATAGATCCCAGAAGTACCACTTAATTTCCTAAAGTTTAAATCCTGGTCAATCACAATGAGCTGGACTCCTTTACTGCAGATTAGCAAATAAAACAATATGTCCTCAAGTAGAATCTAAAATATGAAGAGTAACTTGATTCAGAGCAGTAGGGTCTACGATGACATTTCTAAGCAGCAGCTTTAGTTCTAAACCTTTTCCCTACTTTTTTTTTCCTTCCAAATTTTTATTTAAATTCTAGTTAGTTAACATATAGTGTAATAATACTGGTTTCAGGAGTAGAATTCAGTGACTTATCACTTACAAAGAACACCCAGTGCTCATCATAACAAGAGCCCTCCTTAATACCCATCATCCATTTAGCCCATCCCCCACCCACCTCCTTCCATTAACCCTATTTGTTCTCTATCATTAAGAGTCTCTTATGGTTTGCTTCCTTCTCCTTTCCCCCCTTGCCATATGTTCGTATGTTTTGTTTCCTAAATTCCACATGACTGAAATCTTTCTCTGACTTATTTTGCTTAGCATAATACACTCTAGCTCCATCTACGTCACTGCAAATTACAAGATTTCATTCTTTTTGATGGCTGAGTAATACACCATTTTGTGTGTGTGTATATATATACATAAAATATATATAAATATATATATACATACACCCCCCCATCTTCTTACTCCATTCGTCAGTTGATGGACACTTGGGCTCTTTCCATAGTTTGGCTATTGTCAATAATGCTGCTATAAACATCAGGGTGCACGTACCCCTTCCCTACCACTTCTGGCCAGTTACAGTCTCTACTTGTTTTTCCATTAGCCATCAATGACAGCCACCACTGGACTGCACACATGGCCATTAGTTAGGCAACAAATGCTAACAAAAATCCATGCAAATAACAAGATTACCATTACACAACTAATGTAGGCAACCCTGAGGCATCAGCACCACAAGAGCAAAGCTCATTATCAGAAATGGAGACCATGTCTACCAACAGAAATTCTGAAAGTATAAAGATTAACGTAAGTAAAAAGTAGCTTCCCAATTATTTTTAATCTAAAAATTTTAAATGGAATCTTGATGACTATTTTTAAGAGAGCTTCTCACTACATAAAACAAAGCCAAAATGACTCATAAAATGCAATGATTCAAACATGCACATATTTGAAGTTGTCGGTTTTATGTAAGCAATTAAAACTTCTCAATACTAAGATTAAGTGAAAAAAAAAAACCCATAAAATCAGATCTTTGGATTATCAAAGTCTCTAGAACTACACTGTCCAATATAGCTGCCACAAGCTATGTAAAACTATTTGAATTTCAATTAATAAAAAATAAAAATTCAGTTCCTCAGTCACACCAGCCACATTTCAAATGCTCAAAAGCCACATGTGTCTGGTGTAGTGGCTACATATTAGAGTAGAGATCCAAAACATCTGCATCAACACAGAAAGTTCTACTGGAGAGCAGTACTCTTGAAGAAATCTGCTGCAAAAATGGCAAAGAACATAATATCTACACAATCAAAAACTGTTCTGTATCTGTTCTGTGATGGTCGTTCATACACAACTGTCACAACCAAAGAAACGTACATTTTATTTATTTATTTTTCAAGATTTATTTATTTGACAGAGAGAGACACAGCGAGAGAGGGAACACAAGCAGGCGGAGTGGGAGAGGCAGAAGCAGGCTTCCCGCCGAGCAGGGAGCCTGATGCGGGGCTCGATCCCAGGACCCTGAGATCATGACCTGAGCCGAAGGCAGACGCTTAACAACTGAGCCACCCAGGCACCTCAGAAGTGTACATTTTAAATGGATATAGTAACACAAGTAAATTATTCCTTAATAAAGTTGATAAGGAAAAAGAATAGATATATGACCACTGGTGCATTCCAAAGGAAAAACAAAATATACTTTGGGTATGTAGAGGAAGTTCCAAAGTCCTGACAACTTGCTTACGCAGTCCTTCAGTTGAGACCCTGGTACATCAGACTGGGGATCCAAGCCAGAGTGGTAGACAGATGGCTAGAGCAAAGAAGAGAGTGCACATCTGCTTATGGTAAGAGGTATGAGGGGCGGGAGATCCAAGATACTATGGAAAGTAAGGGACAATGTTAGAGTACTCCAAAAATGTACCTACACCCTAACCTCAAACAATCATATACATTATTAAAATCATACCACTCACTGAGGGGCCACTGAAGATGTAAAGTAATTCATAAGAAGTTGTAAGGTGTATAGCCTCACATAGATATCTTCCAAATGATTAATTAGTAAAATGAAAAAACTACCCAAAATATTTAAAGATTTAATACCTGAAAATCAGAAGAGCCAAGTATTACCAATCCCAATTCCACAACATCCTTCAGCTGATAACAGTCAAAAGTTCTAACCACGGATCACAGCTGATCACTAACACCAAGTCCAACTCCTCCTGCCTCTGACAGGAGGCTACCACCAGTCACTCTCTAGGCATGACTAGTTCTCAAAAGGTAGACAGGAGACTGAAAGGGGAAAAAAACAGGTTCCCCAGAGTAATTCGGTCAAGAACAAGGGTTCTCAAATTTGTTCAGTTAACACCTGGTGGTCAAAGTATACCTTGACCCATTAGTACAGCAACATTTAAATAATTTTTGTTACATTACATATCATTTTATATTTTATTCAAACATTTCTATTATCACTAGCAGTTGTCAACAGTTTATTAAATGAGGAAAAACACTCAATAGAAATGTTTAAGAATATTACAGTGTATTGGCTTATAATATTTTATACCATTAAAATGATGATTATCAACAATGCCAACAAGGAAAAACAGAGTCAAATGAAAAAGCAAAGTATACAATATCGATAGTATGTAAACATAAAAAAGGACTAAAAGAAAACATGAACAAATGAAAATTGCTTCTCAGACTGTGCACTTGTTCTTTAATGTAGATATCATTACTGTTATTTGTGTCATACAAAATAAAAATTTTAAATATTTATAAATACAGATAGCGTACTTACCACAGTGGGATTGCCACTACTTATCAACTGGCTGACTTCATGAAAAATGCTTTTGCAGTCAATTGATTTATCTAAGGATCCTCGTTTTACAATTACTGCTACTGCTAATAGAATCTGTTCCCGAACATACTTTTGGAGGCTGTAAAACATAAAAATCATTGTGAAAACCTTTACATGAATCTAATATAAAATTACTCCAAATTTCTCACTATGTCTGAAGCTACTAATAACACTGCTTGCATATGAGGGTAGTATAGCCTACTGGTTATGCACAGTGTCCAAAGCCATAAGATCCAGATTTGAATCTACACTCCCTTATGTTACTGGCTATGTGACCCTGAGCAAGGCAGTTTCAGAGCCTCAAGCTTTCTCATCTGTTAAAAGGGGGTAACAGTAACAGAGTTGTTACTAGGATTAAATGTTCTTAAAACTGTGCCCAGTGCATACTAAGCGCTCGTAAAGTGTTAGCTGCTTCAGGCAGTGTTCAATAGATGCAAGTCAGTTCACTAAGAGCCAGCTTATGATTCTATCAAAAGAAATTCTGATCTAATATCCATCTCCAACCAGTAGTATAATCTTAAATTCATTTCCTTTAATGTGAAAAGGCAACATGCTACAAATTTTTTTAAAACTTTTTAAAATTTTCTACCTAAACTGTGCTCCTCAGTGTGATGGCAGAAGCACCGATCCCAAGTGCAGGCATTCTACAAAGTCTATTAGACCACAAGGAAATAGAGATTTAACTGTCTTTTCACAATCTTTTCTTAAAGATAAGGTTCAGAAAACATAACTCTGAGCTTTATAATCCAGACTCTAGAATGCCACAGGATATGACAACCATGTGCCCTTGGGATAAACTACAAATTCCTTAACATGGCTTACAAGCAGTGGAACCCAGCCCAGCTTTCTTTGGACACTCCCAATTTACCTGTTGTCTTACATCATTACTTACTAATAGTGTTTTCCTTAACCCTGGAAAGTGTCCCCATTTGAACATAAATGATACAGTCACCCACTTCCAAGGCCCTTCATGGTCAGGTATACCTGCTGCCCTCTCTAATCTCCCCCCACCCACACACACTCAAAACTGCAGAAACACTGAGCTGCTTTCAGTTCCTGGCACAATGCACATGCACTTCCAGGCCTTTAAATGTCTATGTCCTCTGCCAAGATTGTGATGTCACTTTCTCCAGAGACATTCCCTGAACAGCTCCCTGAACGTGGTGGGCCATTACTAAGGAGGGCTCCCCCAACACATGATGGGCATTTACTAGACATTTATACAAACATGTCTCCCTATGTCAAGACTGAAGTGAAAAGTATTCCTTCAAAATACAGACTTGAAGTATTCATTAAACAAATAAATGCAGAGATCCTATTATGCTGAAGAATATGAGTTGACCAAAGTGAATTCTTATACTTTTGGGGGAACACAATAATTTCAAATACATGGACTACTCCTAGGAACTGTACATAAAGCTCGTTTTATTTATTTTTTAAAGATTTATTTATTTGAGAGAGAGGGTTTATGCATGTGTGCATGGCTGGGGGGAGGGACAGAGGGAAAGAATCTCCAAGCAGACTCCCCACTCAGCAGGGACCCGATGTAGGGCTTGATCCCACGACCCTGAGATTATGAGCTCAGCCAAAACCAAGAGTCAGATGCTCAACTAACTGAGCCACCCAGGCGCCCCCACAAAGTTCGGTTTAAGGAAGTCCACTGGCAAGAATTATAACTTACTAGGAAAATAAATAATAATGGCTAACATTTGTTGATGCTTATGGTATGCAAGGCTTCCTATAAACCACCTTCACAAAAATTAATACATTAATCCTCATAACTATCTTTTGAGTAAAATAATATTAACTCTATTAGTTAATTAATAATAACAACAATTAAAAAAACTAATGCACAAAGAGGGTAATCTGCCCGTGCACACAGAGTGGCAGAAGTGGAAATCACAGTCCCTTTCTCAACCACTCTGCTATACTGTCAAGTGCACCTTCCATTTTACTCTGTATAAATGTTATCTCAATTAGGAGGAAAAAAACAGAAAAAACTCTGTGCACCAAATGAGAAGTATACAACACGATGAACATAGTATTCATGGTATTCTACCTATGCAATATACCAACGGTGTTCACTTGACTTAAGTCCATACTGTAGGAAATTCTGCAAGATAAAAATGGCTGTGTCATGAAAAACAAAAAAAAAGGGCAGAATTATTCCAGATTAAAAGAGACTAAAGAGACATGATAACTAAATACAACATATAATCTGTGGTTAAATCCTGGATCAAACAAGTAACATAAAGGAGGAAAGGATATCAATAACATTATTCAAACAACTAAGGAAATGAAAATAAAGAATCAGAATTACAGTAGATTAATACAGATAAGCCAATTATATCAAGAGTATTGAGATTATGCTCTCAGGAGAGATGCTCAAGTATTTAAGGACGAAGTATCACGATTTCTGCGGCATACTTTCAGGTGGTTTGGGGGGTAAATGCACATATATAAGAGAAATCAAATGTGACAAAATGTTAACTGAACCCCTACTAGGAAGAGTATGTGTGTGTTCACTGTACTCTTCTTTCAACTTTGCTGAGAGTTTTGTTTTTAAAGAGTTTGGGAGAAAATATGTATGTGAACTACAATCAGCTCCAAAATAGCTTCTGAACTAATGAAAATTATTTAAGAATGAGATTATTTCCGGGTCGCCTGGGTGGCTCAGTCAGTTGAGTGTCTGCCTTCAGCTTAGGTCATGATCTTGGGGTCCTGGGATCGGGCCCTGTGTTGGGCTCTCTGCTCAGCAGGGAGTCTGCTTCTCCCTCTCCCACTGTACTTGCACTCTCTCTCAAATAAATAAATAAAATCTTAAAAAAAAAAAAAGAATGAGATTATTTTTGGATAATACAAGAGACCACATGTGCAATCAAAATCTACCACACATTTAAGTTTACCAAACTCTCCAGAGTTCAGAGGTTCCCATGTGGGGAGGGTGGGGGATCAATGAGCAGCTCCAGGGCAAGCCAGTATCATATCACACCCAAAAAGCCTCATCAAACAAATTAAAATTTAAAGAAAGAAAACCAGTGTGAAGGAGAAGAGAAAGGTTTGAAACCCAGTCAACTTTTCCTTATTCTATTAAAACTGGGAAAAACAAGCCAAACCCTCTCTTTACATATATCTATATCCATTCATTTATAGAAAACGTTACCCATTACACCTGTAATGTTTATAGGCTAAGTAAATCTTGCCTTTTTTCTCTCATGCATTCTTCCATACGTAAAGCAACTAGCAATTAACGGTGTTAAATTCGTGCCAGCAATTATTATTAAATATTAGGAACTCAGAGACTGCTAGTGAACAATCAGTAGGAACAAAGGTATGTTCTAAATTATTTTTAAAGCTTTATGCATGTTTAATGCTACTATTAGACATTCCTAATTACCAGCATTTCTGATTATATAACATTTTCTTCACCGAATTTGGAAATGAACCACTATACAAAAAATATTCAATTGTCCAACTGCGCAAATGGCATACATACAGTGTGCACTGCCTCTTCTTAAAAGAAGACTTGGTGTTTGGTGGACTTAATCATATAAGCAATGAATGTACAAATCTTATAAAATGTTCAAACAATAGAATGTGTATAGCACAAAAAGAAAACTTACTTGTACTCCATTTCTTAAAACTGATCCGTTTTCCCAAACTAAACTATTAAAATTTGGTGCTTTCTCTTCTACTAACTTATTAATGTGCATTTCTGTGTACATATATATGTAACACTTGGTTTGTTAATGGTACTTAATTTCCCTCTTCACCTGTCCTAGGATACTCACCTATATCTTATAATACTTACCAAGTACCACAAGAATAAGTAAGTACAAAGGATTTTCACTTGAGTCTAAGATCAACTTTTACTTATAACCAAAATCTTTGGAACTAAACCAACACCAAAAATCCTAACATCCAGCATCATCTTTTCAAAGAAACAAAACCTAGTATTGTAAGCTTAAATAAAAAGTAGTATTTCATTAAGGACCAAAAACAACCCACAACCATGTGTGCAAGTTTTAAAATATGAGCCCCAAGCAGAGCTTAACCATAAACATCTATCATTAAATAAAAGAAAAAGAAAAAAAAGAGAGAGAGAGAGAAGCCCGGCAAAAGCATTTTAGCAGTACCTCCACCACATACTTACTTAGGCCTTTGTAAGACATATGTTAAAAGGAATGTTCGCAGTGACTCGATGCTACCTTTTTCCAAGAGAATCCACTCTCGGACAACTGCTTCCATTATGGCTGTGGCAGCTTGAAAGAGGACATAGTCCACTTTACTTGTTTCTGAGGAGAAAATTAGAAACTTTCTTTAAACAGCAGTTGATCTTCCTTTGAACATTTTGCATTTATTAATTTAAAAACAGAACTTTTCAGACAAGGAATAAGATGGTTACCTGTTCTTTTTTTAATCCAGTGACCTTGCTCTAGCACCACAAAGAGGTTAGTTCCTCTCAGAAGACACCCCAGGCAGGTGGCAGCTAATCACCGATCACAATTTTCACAAACTTTCCTCACCTCTCTTCAACTGTTACTTCCAAAGCATGAAGAACTAAAAAATAACACAGCTTTAAAAAAAATAAAAATAAAAATATAAAGCAATCAGAAAATTTCCTAAGAGATTCTCACCCTGTGCAAAATAGAGCTTTGTATCTGCAAAATATCTTAAATTAGTCTTTGAACATTACTATTTGTGATGAGCCATGCTGTTAAAATATTTGTTAAGTGATTAAGCTTTCAGCAGGATGGCCCATCTCCAATAGCAAGTTCAGAAATAAACACAATCACGTTCAGGTTACTTTTCTCAAAATGTTAAAAAAAAAAAATTGAGTCATATTTACACAAGGTGAGAAGTTCTTGTGAATTTTCTGATTGCAATATTGATCAAACTGAGTAAAATTCCAAAGCTACACTTAGAAAAACCCAGCCTTAACTAGCAAGTTATAGTTTCTGAACTAAAAACTAAATCAGGAGGGAAAGAAAAAATAGAAAATTAACATACATAAGAAATATTTTAATTTTCTATTTTTTCTTTCATTCACCAATACCACTACAATCGGTTTCCAAACAGCATTATCAAAAGGGAGAAACAGTCAAAATGAAGTCAAGAAAAAGTAGAAATTTTCTGAAGTTCTAAAAAATAACCATCATGTGAAATCCATGAAAAGTCTATGATTAGACTGCAGGTTATTTGCCAAGATCACTAGACATGAGTATCTGAAAGCCATGAGAAATTAACTCTAGGCATAGAATGGCACCTTCAAGAATTTATCAGAAGAGCATGAAGATATAGTCAGGCACATCATTTTCTCTCCTACTCAAGCTTAGGTCATTTAAACATCTTGTAAGTGATCTTGACACAATAAGCTATAAAAATGCATGGGAAAAGGTATACCCTACATAAATTCCTATCAATTTAGACTACTACATATGAGTTTTGAACATACAAAAACTAATAAGAGGAACCAATTCAGACTCTTTTTCTTTTTAAGTATGATTATTCCATGCTATCTTAACATGAATTCTAATTGAGATGATAATCAGAACTCACAAAAATTTAGAAACTTTAAAATATTATCAATAAATAAAGCAACAGCTTCCAAAAATGTAAACCTACTATAAAAAGATGTGTTTAAAGTTCCAGGAGGAAAAAAAAAAACAAAAAACGTTTTATTCAAAGAGGATTTGAAACAGAAACTAGCTATATCTATTTAGATCACTTAAGGAGAACTATGGTACTGCTTCATAAAGGTAATTCAAGCAATCTCTTATAAACCTCTTCTTGAAAGTAAATGATGATTGATGGTCTAATTTCGTTTTCTATTGCAATAGTAAAAACTTTAAGGACAAGAAACCTGAAATCCTTAACTATCGGTTTTAACAAAGAAGCAAAATCTTAGGGACTCACAGAATTTTGGAAATACAACTCCAAAGATCATCTAATTCATTTTCTGCATTTTACAGCTAAAGAAAGTGTTGATGAACCAAGAGATTAAGAGAAGAAATTCAAGGTCACGTGGCTGGTAAATGTTCCTTGAGCAATACCAACCCGCCCCTAAAGGCATATGCCAAAGAAGATAAGACCAAACAAGCACCTTCTTGTTTTCATAAGCAATGAAACATGCTTATTTCTAACTGTTTGTGCTTATATCCAACCCATTTTTCCTGCCTCCTCCTCTCTTTCTGCAAGGGATGCGGGAGGAAATAACTGCAGAAGGTGAATGACATTTGAAACTTTCCAAGATAACTCTTAGATACCTCTGCTTGGTATTAAATAGGCATATCTAAATTACTACTCCCATATGAAGCTGTCTCTAAGAATGGAGGATCTGAAAAAAGGAAAACCAAATTCCAAATTTAAAAGGAGGAATTTTCCTAACCTAATGAATTATGCCTTCTCATAAAACTTATGATTAGCCTTCATAAACTGTACTTATATGTAATATAAATGTGCAAAAGAAGCTATATGGTTCTCTAGAAGCTACCAGCAGAAGATTAGGACTTCAGATGGACAAACAAGCCTTATTCTTGCTCTCTGCTCTAAAGATGCTTGAAATTGCAAGGTTTTCATAAGGAAATCACATTTATCTAGAACTTCTGATACTTTTAGGATGATTCTCCACTGACCAGGACACTGTCTAGATAATAAATTATTTTAGGCCACTTTAGCAGGAAGCTTTCACTTCCTACCATAGTAACTTTCTTTAATAATAATTATGTAAATAAAATTCATTTCTATCATGTCAGCCATCTGAAACTACACAGAACCACGAAGACAAAAGTTAAAGTGAAGTAAATAATGAGAGGCAGAGCACTACATTGAAAAAATATTTTCAAAAGAAAACTAAAACTATAGTAGTCAAGTCCCAGATGTTCAGCTACTACATACAATTACCTCTCTGGCCTTAAAGACTTTTGTCCAAAGCATAGGCAATAGAAGCTCCAGAGTCTGCTTAATGATACATAGGCACACCAATCAAGAGTAAGTCTCAGGTTTCATTCTGTTTTGTTCCAACCACTTGAGATAAGAAATTAAAGAAATCCATTTCTTCCTGAGAGAAGGATAGAAAAATGCTACAAAGTTAGTTCTGGAAGCGTTGAACCAATCTCTCACTAGTTGGGGGTATTTCTTCAATAAGAACAGAACTCACAGGATTTGTGAATGCACATTCGACCAGACCAAACTAGCAAATTCTTAAGTGCCAAAGACTTCTGAAATGAAGAAGTCTAAAAATACTCTTCGGACAAAATATGCGCATAGGCATGCAACATGCACACGCACATGCGCGTGCGCACACACACAGAGAAGAGTGGAAAAGTAAACCTAGAATAAAAATAAAAGCGTTAAGAAGAGAAAGAAATGAGGAAAAACAAGAAACATAAAACTTAAGTCAGAAGTGGGAAGGAAGAATTTTAAGAGGCCAGAAAAGGGAAGCATCAAAGAGAAAGTCTCCCCTTTATTAGAATATATCACCCAGACACTGTATAAAAATGACATATTATCCCTAAAAAAGAATGTGAAAATTCTGAATTGCGATTGACTGCCACTTGTATGAGAAGTCTTCTTAGAGGAATTAACCCTTCTGTGCTGGTGGCAACTGAGTAAGGAGTTGAAAGATTTTCTGTGAAGTTTAGATGTAAACATTAATGTAACACAGGGCTTTGCAGTACATTAATGATTAGATTATGCTTATAATACATGCACTCAACCTTTTAAATAGTTAATGTCTCAAAACCCAAACTGATTTTAAAAGCACAGCTGGAACTAGCAATACTATTCTTTAGAAATTTTTATCAGGGAAACAAAAGTATTCTAAAACAAGCTCAAATCATAACAAAGCAATAGTACTTCATAAAATATACATACTCTAAAAAGGAAAGAGTCGTATAAACAAATACACTCTAATAAAATACTTACAACTTAAATCAACTATTTCCCAACTAGTACAGAATGACAACTGAATTACAATGAAAGTCAGATGAAAATGATGGACTCCTAATTAATGTAATTAAGGCATATGCCATAAAAACCAGACTCAAATTATTTTAGGTGACTAGTTTAATACGATGGTTTTCTAAATCTAATTTCTAAATGCTGAACAATTTCAAGGCAGTAAAGACGAAGGCTCCCTTAAATTCCTAATAGTGATGTTTAGTTTTGCTTCTTGTAATTTAACATGACATTAAATATTCCCCACAGGCATACGATAACAAATTTTCTTAGTGCCAGAAACAAATTCACCCCAAAGTATAAAAACTGACCATAAAAAATAAAAAAGATCAAAACTGCCTCATTTAGAATTTAAAAGGTGGTTATTAAAACTGTCCCTCTAATGATAAGATCTAACTCCTGAATGAGACAGAGCCACCTTCACCATCACTGCTAGCTCCTTGCAAACAGAGCACTTTTTTAAGGTTATTATTTTTAAAATGTCTTTTGAAATCAGGTAATGGGGTCACTTATGTTACTGTTTACAAAGTGGTTTTAAATGTTACCACACTTGTGCCTCATAACAGCTTAAGGCAACCAAGTCCATTAAGGAAAATGATACCACTATTCTCTTACTGATGAAAAAAGGGCTAAGTGACTTCCTCAGGTTGATACCATGCAAGAGGCACCACTGGTGTCCAGATCTCACAGTACCTACAGCAGTGCTCTTTCTACTCCAGTCGAACAACTCATTTATAAGTCCTTTATGTAAAGCATTATTAACATAATTTTAATTATAGGCTATTTCAATCTGGAAACCAGAGTGCTGGTGGCTAACGGATAAGTCTTACTAAAAGCACAAGAATAAAAGGTCAGATATTTTAGTTCTTAATACACAACTAATCAATTTTGTGGGCAAGGATAACTCAGAGCCTCAAATATGGGTTACAAAAAATGGCTCCAATTAAGAAAAAGAGCCAGAAATAATTAAGTTATAAAATAACAATAACCAATGAAATCTCTCTTATACTATTGAAAAACATATAAGAGGCAGAAGACGGTGTATGTATATCTTTTAGAAAATACCATTTTTGGACAAGAGTTATAACTTTTGTGATTATTTTTAAAGGAAAGAGATCATTTCTGTACATGTCAGATAAAAGGTACTCACAAAACATTTTTACAAGAGTAAAAATGCTTCATTTAAAAATATACAGTGACAACCTACACAGAACTGACTAATACTTGCTAAGCAAGCTAAGTACAAACTATACAGTTAAAAATTAAAAGAAAAAAACTAAAAGAAAAACTGTTGAAATCTCCAAAAACAATAATTTTAAAACACTAGGATAAGATATATTATAGTACATTTCCTATGATAAGTGATAGCACTCTTGAAAACAACTGAAAAACTTATTAGACTTTTCCCTCCCACCATTAACAGCCTTCATGCTATGGTCAATAATAAAACAAATTATTGAATACTGTATTCAGGGGAAGAAAATTCAAAGTAAAAACAAAGTTCTCTGGCTTTATGGAATATCTTTAAAGCCACTTCAATAGAGTAATTATTAATGGAAAATTATAACTATACAAACTTGCTTGTTTTAAAAGGAACTTAAAATATCTAACATTTAAGATAGAAAAACGAGATTTGATTCTGCAAAAATATTTTTATAAAGTGAATACTTACCCAAAATATGCTTGCAAACCGCAAATGGTGATTTTGATTTCCTAAATGATAAGAATATGTGCTCTGCATGCTGGCGTTGTTCATTATTAACCATGGAAGGTGGTGCCTTGAGAGTTAAAAAAACAAAAGCAAAACAAAACAAAAAAACAGAGTACACTTGTTTAATAAGAAAGCTTGAACAATAGCAAACCTTTAACCCACAAGAGAAAATACTTTCACTTTTGGGGGGGTTAATGGGAGGACAAATTCCTGCTTGTTATTTTAAAGACTACAGTATAAAGCTTCGTAATAAATATTTAAAATATGGTTTCAGGAAAAAGGAAGAAATTCCTGGCAAAGTTTGGGTGAGAACCCTTTAAAGTTGCCTATATTTTAGAAGATACTTACCTAACATTTTCCTTATCTTTTAAAAATAGTTAACTTATTGCTTTTTATTCCAAAATATATCACTTCATCAAGTTCAAATAATCTCTACATTCTTCAGCACTGGTGAAACTGAATCCAAAGTTACTAAAAATTGTTTTCTAACAGCAATCCTTTAAAATAAAAGTTATTACCAGATAATTTTACTTGAAGTTTTCTAAAACCACCATTAAACCAGAAAAATTAGGGAACAGTGAAGTTTAGAATTTACAAAACTCCTATCTGAATAATAAATTAATCAGCAGAAAAGCCAGACTTCTAGCTTACCAAAAACAACTTCTATAGTCTGCCAGGTTTTTAAATTCCATTTTGTTCTAACAATCTTTCCTTCTAAAGATAATACTCTTTCTGAACCTAAAATATATATTCTCATTATATGGCTTGGTAATCTTAGACTCATTGTGACCCATCTGAAGAGAAGAGATTGCTTATGTAAGCCTACCAACCAAATTACCAGAATTCTCAATTTGGGAGGGGAGAGTCAGGGTAGATGGTAGGAAAATAAACCTTTGCTACTGTAACCAATATGAAATGGGGAGACCAAAATTTCAAATATACTCAATGTGGAAGATAAAAAACATTTTTTTAAAGATTTTATTTATTTGACAGAGAGAGAGAGAGACAGCGAGAGAGGGAACACAGCAGGGAGAGTGGGAGAGGGAGAAGCAGGCTTCCCGCTGAGCAGGGAGCCCGATGTGGGGCTGGATCCCAGGAACCTGGGATCATGACCTGAGCTGAAGGCAGACGCCCAACAGCTGAGCCACCCAGGCACCCTGGTAAAAAACATTTTTCAACAAAGTATGTTACATCATTATTATAAACCATAAAGTATATCAGTTATGCAACATTAGTCACTATAATTTTAGTTAAAATTGTGAGCAAAAATGTGTATCCAAGAGAAATTAACCAACTTTGATAGTCTGGCCTAAAGGAATTCTTATAATTAGCTAAAACCAGTTCAGATACTATTCCTAATGATACAGCACCCTCTATAGCTCTCTAGATAAAAATGAAAATATCTGCATTAAGGAACTGTGTTAGGGGCGCCTGGGTGGCTGAGTCATTAGGCATCTCCCTTCGGCTCAGGTCACGATCCCAGGGTCCAGGAACAGAGCCCCACATTGGGCTCCCTCCTTGACAGGAAGCCTGCTTCTCCCTCTCCCACTCCCCGTGCTTGTGTTCCCTCTCTCTCTGTGTCTGTCAAATAAATTAAAAAATCTTTAAAAAAAAAAAAAAGAATTGTGTTAAATTCCTTAAATATGTTTTTTGAAAAAGGCTTTATAATAAAATACTGTGAAAGCTAACTATGCTAAATGTAAATATTTTGTCCTTCCATTTGTAAATTCTTCATTCTCACCATTTTTTTAATTCAACAAATTTGTGTTTTTACAAGATATTTCATCATTAATATCTGCTGAATATACCCCAAATACACAGCATATTAAGTAACCACTACTGCAACATGTTATACTGCTATGAATACAAATCAACAACTATAGATTGCCCAGGTAATTCTGATTTAAACATTCTTCTCATCACCCTTGAAAAGCAGTATATAATTTTGCAAATAGTCATGCCTGTTATCCTACAAAAATAGTTCCTAAAGCTAATGATTCTTAGACACCCTAATATCCACATACTTAATAAAGTACAGGTCTCAATATAACTTAACCATGATAGAATGATATTTAATTTATAAAATATCAAGATTTCCTAAGTAATGAAGTATAATCTAAAAGTCGGTTTATCTTAACCACCTGGTTGAACTTATTATACAAACAATAAAATCATCAACTGATTCATTAAATGGCAATATGGTATTCACTTTAGTTTCCCAAAACGAAAACTTTTAATTCTTTTTGAAAATGACTTGGCAATGGTTGCATCGATGAGTCCTGAGCTTTTTTGTTCAAAACAAAACAAAACAAAACACCACAAAACAGATTCCCAGCCCCCAAAGAGTTAGGAGGCGGGGAGCTTAAACCAAAATTATGCATTTTTCCCTCCAAAGTCCCTAGATAGTATAACCTATAGTACCTCCACCTGTCAAACTCCTTCCTCTTCAGAAACCAGAACTCACCCTTCGAATTCTGCTTCAGTCTCTCCTTCATCAGTTTTTCCTGACCTTTCCCCAGTCAGCCTGAACACAAATGATGTCTCTATCTCACCTTGTAGGATACACTACGTATCTCTACTACCCAACTTACCATAATGTACGGCAAGTATTTGCTTGCCCCTGTTTCCTTTTCTCTGACTTTTCTGACACCAGAAGCTTTATTTTACTCATCTCTAAATTCCTAGAGCCTTGCACATACCAAAAGGAGAGGCAACACAATAACTAACATTTACTGAGTACTTAGCATTGCAAGGCATTATTTTCAATGGATGGATGGGCATGAAGATATATAATCTCATTAATCCTAATAACCTTATGAAGAAGAAACTATTATTATCCCCATTTTACAGATGAGGAAACTGAGGAATGGAGTAATCAATTTGCTCAAGGTCAAATAGGAAACAGAGGTGGAAACTGACCCTAGGGCCCTAACTCTTTAACAGAAACTACACTTAGGTGGCTCAGTACCACGTAAGACTCACCATGTTTAAAGTCTGGGGGTAGAAAGGAAGTAAATTCCCTCTAAAAATCCTCCTCTAGCGCCCAATACTGACATTAGAGTGTTTTATATAGTTCGTAAAGTTTCAGTAAAGAAATAATAATAGTAAAAGAATCTTTTTGTATTGTCAGTTTATGTTCTTTCACTGTCACTAATAGTAAAAGCTTTAAAAAAGCTCACACTTCAGAGGTGGAGTCAAATGAATCAGAAGAGCTGGAAGAAATAGTAGGTGGTAGCAGAGTACAGTAATGGTAAGAGGAAACAGCAGATGAGCAATTCCAGGTATCTTCAGGAAAACAACAGCAACGTCAGAAAAAAATTGAGAGGTTTTTCTAAGGAGTCACACTAGCAGGAAACCTGAAGCTCACAAATTCCTAACTCAATATACTGGTGTTTCTGGCCCAGCCTGCACCATACCCAGGCCACCTTCAATTTACAAAAAATCCTGAGAAAACACCGTTGGTAGCACACAGCCAAGGGCATCTGAAGCTAGAACTCAAAATACACTAACAAACGGATTAAATGACATATATTATGAGGGGTTTTTTTTTGGGGGGGGTTGGGAGAACCAAAGTACTTAAATAATTTCTACTCAAAATATTTACTGAGTGTAAAAAGTATTTACTATACTTCAAGCACCATGCCAGAAGCAAAGGATGTAAAAATAGGGGAAAACATCCCTGCCCTTATAGAGTTCTGAGTCTTAGAAAAGACAGACATTAATCAAATAATCACACAAATAATTATGACAGCCTATCATTTCTGCTACTAACTGCATTCTCGTCTCTGTCATCATGCTAAACTTGTCCTCAAAAAGCCAGAAACCCCACTTGCTAAATCCCATGAGACCTTTAGACTCTTTCTTTCCCTGGGCAGCTAAAATAACTTTTATTAAGGTTAACAACAATAGCACCAATTATTCCTCATGCAGAGTGCTAAGTTACATACACTCTCTCTATTTAATCACAGCAACATCCCTTAATAATCCCAGCAACGAATTATTTCCTCTCTTTTACATACGGAGAAACTTAGATTCACAGATTGTCACATGCCCAAGATCACAACAAATATCATAACCAGAATTTCATCTTAAGTCTGTGTGACATCAAAGCCCATGATCTGACTCTCTTTTAGTATTAATGAAGAGATACAGCTGAGACTAGTTTCTGTCAGATAGCTAGTAGAGAAATCCGAATAATATTCTTGGCTTACTATAAATATTATTATTTACAGGACCATGAAAAAAAAGATCAAAGTCAGATCGAAAAATAAGGCACAACTTGTAGATAGGAAACAAGCTACAAAACTAGAAAACAAAACTGGAAGTCATGCCACAGAGCTCATAGTAAGAATTTTCTTAGCTCTAATTGCTCTCTCATTTTTTAGAGAGAGAGCATGGCTTAATATTCAAATTAGAAAATCACAGATGTACTACCTAAAAACATGTTTACTGGTAGTTTTTCATTCATTCACTGAAGACCTGAAGTTAAGAATTTATTCAATTTTGGGCGCCTGGGTGGCTCAGTTGGTTAAGCGACTGCCTTCGGCTCAGGTCATGATCCTGGAGTCCCGGGATCGAGTCCCGCATCGGGCTTCCTGCTCAGCAGGGAGTCTGCTTCTCCCTCTGACCCTCTTCCCTCTCGTGCTCTCTATCTCTCACTCTCTCTCAAATAAATAAATAAAATCTTTTAAAATAATAAAAAAAAGAATTTATTCAATTTTTAGTTTTCTCTCTATAATCTTTTCTTCAACCTTCAGAACCTACCATTGCTCCTACCTAAATTTAAATCCATAACACATAATGATATACTTTTTTACTTTAAATGTATCATACCAATATGTCACAGCATTCCACAAAGAGTAAATTCCAGATACTGGACCTTTCCAGCTAAACAAATTTGAGAGATGTGCCCTAATTAATCTCTTGTGATTTCCTAGCACATTCCCAAAAGCTGTCCTTTCAAATCTGTTTTTCTCTCAAACCTCTCATCTCATGATACCCAGTACTCCAATCTCTCAGAAAATGACCTTACTTTTTCTTTCCCAAAGTGAAAGCCTTCCCGTATAA